ATAATCTTTATATCAACCATCCACTGTTGTCTATAATAGCAAATAATATATGACATGTGCATCAATTAAAAAAAAAAGCCTTTATCAGGTCTGAAAATATTCCTCAATGCATATATATCTTTTTTAGGCACCAAATATTGTTTTTACATGTATTTGTTCCAAACACGCTGATCACTTCTGTTTCTTTTCAGACTCCTCAGATTTCCGAAGTTCTTTCTGCAGGGCCTGCAGATCCTTGTACAGATTACGATGCAACAAGGCTGAAGCACACAGAAGTCCTCCATACAAAGCCCCACCGAGTCCTACAGACATTACATCCTGCCCTGTCAAATTTATATCATACAACATTATCTTTCATGATGTCACAATGGTATTTGCAAATTTATTCAGATGATTAAAAATACCTCTTTATAACCTGTTAAGGTTAGATGACATGTTCCTCAATAATACATAATTTTTTCCAAGAATTTGTCATTGAACTATTGCTACTTTAACAAGTCTCCTCATAAAAAATTAAGGTACCTTACCAGGCATTTGTGCAAGATACCTGGGGATGTTATTAAAGAATCACTGTCTAGTTAGTAGAGTATGCCAGGGCATCAACGATAGTTGGAAACGTGGGATAATTTGCATAACGGGCGAAGCATAAATTATCCCACGTTTCCAACTATCGTTGATGTCCCTGGCATACTCTACTAACTAGACAGTGATTCCTTATATTTCCATTTCATTGTGAAATAAAATTGTAAATTTAGATTTTAAAAATGTAGACTAATAGATTTAAATTACACGAGGCCTCACATGTCAATTTCAATAGTCCCCGCCCACTGACGTCAAACACAAAGACAGCTGCACGAGATTTACATGCATATTAGGGCTCCTTAGATTCAGACACAAAGACGGCCGCACGAGAATTACATGCATATTAGGCCTTCTTAGCTCCTGACCTTTCGCTTGGCGAAATTTGCATTCGAGTGGAATGATCAAGAAATCAACTCTCCTAACTTTGAAAGAGTTATCACAGAGAAAACAAATCGAAATGGAAATATTGTACTATATAATCCTATTGGGAATCACTAACATTGCCAATATCACAATTTTTTGTTACTTTATCTACTTAGACATATTGAGAACAGTTTAAAAATCATGAGACAATGATAAATATGATTAATTTGTTGAATATTACGAAAACAGATATTCGAGCAACGTGTCGTCAGACCTTAAGACAATTCTCAGCTAAAACACAGCATAAAATCAGTAATAGTCGAAAGTATCATAAAATACATCATCGGAAACCCACGGCCTGTCTCCCTTCTCTTATCTGTAATTCTAGAGGTCAGAGAAGTAAGACTGATCATGACCGTGGGTTTCTGATGATTCATAAAATAATTAGTCAGGAAATAGTAAACATGGTAATTACCTTAATAATTCAAGCTTACTGTTATGTATATGTATATGTATATCTTAAGTTTATTTACATGTATGTAGGCAAATCTTATGGTAAAGCTAATTGTAAAGTACTTCCTAATATACTTTATGAACCAAAACACAGTATAAACCTTTATAAAGAAGACATTTATCCAAACAAAAATTCTTACATATTTCCTAGAAAATCCCTAAGCATGAAAACAAACATTTAATAGTAACATCTTCTTGCATCCATTGAGGTCAACAAACAAAAAATCTCTCTAAGAATATGATAGAACAACATGATCTATCTTTCCTCCGAAATGAGAAAAAGCTTACTACAGGTACTTAACGTATACTAAAACCCACCAGTCAGATAGAGTCCTGGAATGTCAGTTTTTGGCCGAAGTTGGATGCTGACCTCTGGTAGAAATCTCACCATGTTCTGTTCCAATCCATACATTTCTCCATGTTGGAATCCTAGGTAGTACTTGTTACTGAGGGGAGTACCGACATCAAAGTACTGCACCTGGTAAAAAAAAATTAAAAAGTGAAAGCAGAATATCAGAGTCAATGTTTACATATACACATATATGTCAAAGCATTTCAAGGGAGACAACTTTAACAATCCCACAACTGATTGTGCCTATTTAACATTTACTTAAAACATGAATTCTAAATACAAATACCAACAGCTTCAATTCATCATGAAAAAAGTGACAAAATTCAAACACATACTTTATTTTCCATTTTGGGGTACAATTTGATGCACTGCTGGAGCATCCTTCGTCCAATGGCATTTTTGATTTCTTCGTAATCCTCCCCTCTGTGCTTGACTCGGCCATCTTCCCAGTCCTTGAACCATTTGTAGTGAGACCAGGTGATGATCAAACAGGTGGATTTATCTGCAATCATGTTCATTAAGAACAACAATAGTTTGTTGTTGTTGTTGTTGTTAGGGTTGTAATTTCCTCATCAAATAAACTAGAAATCTGACCAGTCAGCAAGGGCCCCGCTGAGGGTTAGAAATATAAGGGTGCAGATTAGGGGATGAGAATTTTACTTGATTCCAAAAAATTTCAAAATATATAAAGAATAAGCAACAGCAACTGCTAAATATCCAACAATCTGTAAATCGTATCCTTGTATTTACATAAGGCAGTAAAAAACATCATATCTATAATAACTCAATTAAATGTATATTTAAAAATGAATGAAGCATGTGTTTTCTAAAATGCCAGCCTTCAGTGAATGCAAATATCACCCAGGCTTGACCTTTACTTCAAAACAAATATCAGTTGCAGACAAAGGTGTTAATCTTAAAGTGACAGAAAGATAACCCTCTAAAATATTCTGCAAACCAGCAAGATAATCAAACCCACGGGATTAATTATACTGCTCTCTCAACCTTTTCTTCTAAGTTTACAATAAGAACTTTTTCAGCAATGATAGAATGAGGTTATTATCTGAATACCTGTTAAAATAAATAGTATTCTTGAATTTACATATGGCAGAAAAAAAAAAAAGAAAAATAAAGAAAATAATAATAAAAACAATATCTTTATCTATATCTTGTTTTTAGAATTCAATAAAATCATAACTCATTTTGTATTTTAACAAAATAAAGTATGAACATTATTTAAATCCACATTTCAGAGAAGGTAAACATCATTCAGAATTTACCTTAACTTCAAAACAAACTTCATTTGCAGACAGAGGTGTTAATTAATCTCAGTGTGGCAGATAAAGATAAAGGCTTTAGATATTCTTCAAGAGGAAAGTTAATTAATCCCAAGAGACTCATTGCAGCCTTTCATAGTTTACAATAGGAACATTCTCAGCAGTTATCTCTCTTTGCCCATTCACTCTTATATAAAGTTAAGGAATCTACCCCACCACCCCAGCTCCAAACCAGATGACATAGAGAACCAAACTTAGCATCAAAATATGTCTTACTGCCTATTCAACCAACATACCAAATTTGAACTTAACTGGTCAACCCTAGAAAAAGTTATTAGAAAAAAAACAGAAAATTTGTGGACGGAAGAATGACAGACGGACAGACAGACAGACAGACAGACAGACAGAGTGATTACTATAGGGCACCCGCAAATCCTAAATTGAATAACATTGTATAACACCAAAAGAAATACAAATTCTGGTTATAAGAGGTCATACTTTTAATCCAAGGAAACACATGCTCTAACAAAAATTAATATATACAAGGTGAACACTTTAAGTACCTGGATTTCTCTCGTGCCATGTTGGATCCTTGGCTGAGGGGAATGAAATAAACATCATGGGGACATCATGGTTGGGCAAATCCTCCAGCGACAGAGCATTGTATTCATTATATATTTGTTCTACATCTGGCCTGAAGTCAAAATATGTCCCAAATCATTCATTTCTTCAATTTCTTTCTTGTTTTTGTGTATTTGGTTACTGGTCAAAAATACTTAAGGAAAATTCAATTTGAACAGGTTCATATGTATAGTAATAGAGATTATAGATTAAATTACGTTCATACAAATGCATACCGGGTAAAATGCCAACAGTTATGGGCCTGGATTCCAAGTTCTTCTTTGGACCCCTTCAATCCCACAAACACAGTCAGAAAAGACACACTCTCTCCAACCTTGTTAATCATTGGATAAATGGCTGAAAAGGCAGAAGCACCATCACATTAAATCAAATGCAAAAGTCATATTTCCAAGTTTTTTAATACTACCAAAGGCCTACCAAGGACATTGAAGCCCATATATATGTCATCAGTTCAGAGAAATTCTAAAAAAGGCACTTATTAATAGATTACATGATTTTGTAGCCACTTCTTTTGGCAATAGATGAAGAAATGTATTGGATACTCCGGCATCAGAAACAATACGTTTGGCATATATCTCCACGTCACTGTCACCCTTCCTGAGTTTTACACCTACAATGTATATTAAACAGAAAATGAAAAGGTATCTTTTTAAACAATCTAGTGTGATATTATCAAATATTATTTTGCTTTAACTCTGCAGTGCAAATGAATTTAGGAACAAATAAAAATTGCTTGTGCTTCATGGAATAAGTTAAGAGTCATATTTCTTCTTTTAATTTAATTAACTTGCATTGGTCTTCACTGCATACATGTGATATGTACCGGCGGTACGCAAAGCCCATTCACTGTGTACCGACGGGACACCAAAATTCACGGAATATGAAAATTTGTACAGTATTTTGAATTTCTCGCTAAATGCCGCCATTTTCCTCTCATTCTCGCTCGCGAGACACTGGAAAACGTCACCTGTGTTTGACACTTGACCTTCTGATAATTGTGTAGTGTACACAAACCATCGCGTGTGAAGGTGTGAACTGCCAGTTGGGATAATTATCTTGCTATAAATCCGTATCAAGATACCCCTTTAGGTAGCTTTATTTTTAAAGGGGTACTTAATTATAACTGAACAAGATGTAAATTGGAGACATTGACTCTCACGTTAATACTATATAAAGCTGGCAAACAAACTATCATCTAAACTACTGTAGCTTAATTAATAGCCGATTCATAAGAACATTGTGATTATAAAACACAATATATGATATTTTAAAGCATTCAAATCTCCATTACAACTTTTAAAATAAGACATTTGCAACAATATATAATTGTTGGTTTAGAAATAAGGTGCCTTATCAGAAGAATTTAAGCGATATTTTATACCATTTTTTGTACCGTTTTTTGATAGGCAGTGTACAGTTTTTCCACCCAAATTCCAGTTTTTTTATGGCTCCTGTTCAGTTTTGTTGTCTTTGACTTATCACGTGTATGTCACTGTATGTTCCACATAGAATTTTCATAATTAATTCAAGTAAATTTATACATAAAATTTCATACATCAATATTATCATTTACATGTATATTATTATTTTCATAAAATACTAATTTATTTATTAAACTTCATAATATTGAACATTAACTACTGGTTTAATCAGCCAAAACCCATTTTAACCAACAAGTTCTTGTCAGTGAGCGATAAAATTCAGAGTTGTCTCCCTTTAGCTCTGTTAAGCAACAGAAAATAACAAATGATATAAATAACTGCCTTCAAAAGAAACATTATACAGCTATTCCTAGCCTCCTATTTGACTTACCAATGGCTCTTCCTTTGTCAGACATCAGTATCTGGGACACAGGGGCATTAACCAGTACCCTCCCATTCCTCTCCTCGATGACCTGAATCATCTGAAAAGCGAGTTCACTCGGTCCCCCTCTGATGTAATGGGCACCGGAAAAATAGTGACCCATGATGACAGAATGCAGACCAAATGGGGTTTTAGAGGGTACCACTCCTGGAATAATAATGCAATGATATTTTAAATGTCAATCTGAAATTCTGATACATGAAAGAATTTTAATTACATTGCCTATGTGATAATGTTCTGAAAAGTTTGATTATTATTATGGTGAGAGTGTGTGTATACATTCACACATTGTCAAGCAATTTTTTAAGGTTTATTTCAAGTTTCACTTTGTGGTATACTCAATGCCTGTCATTAATACATATGTACATTAAGGCCATATATAGTATATCCCCATCACTTTTCCTATCTTTCCACATGTGATGAGAACAAGGTTTATCATGGATCAGAAGTTGATCATTACAAAGGCTTAGAGGGCATTTACCATAATCTCCAAATATGTAGGAAAGTGTCCCTTTCAATTCCTCATCATTTGTGACACTGTCTAAAACATCTTTCAGGGTAACCTTTCCAAATTGACCATATGCCTTGAAGATGATGTTAATTAATCCAGTAGACACCAAAAGCTGTGCCAGCCATTTGGGGAGTACTTTAAGAACTACACATCCAGTGAAGAAATGTCTTGCTTCCTGAAAATACAAATCATTATGCCAAACTTTCTTTTTAGCTGAAAATCAAAAGACTTTACACTCAAATTAAATTGATACATTCTATTAAACATTAAATGTACTTAATGGCTCTAAATTTGAAATAAACTGCAATGTTTCCCATTTTCTTAAATCTGAAAAATACTTAATTTAAAAATGTCCTTCAAAGAAATCTTGGAATGATTACCTTGAGTAACTGGAAAAACTTATCTATTCCCTCCTTCTCCTTTGGAAATGCAGTTTTTAAATTCTCAATGATTTTTTCCTTATTTGATACAAATGGGTATTTTCTAACTTTTTCTGTCATTGGATCTCCTATTGCAACCTACAAAGTACAGTATCAGTAATCAAAAGCAAATCAAAGCAATACAACTGTGGATCTCCAAATACCAATTTACGTAAGTATATGATGTGCATGTATCTGGACCGAGTCTTAGGCATGTTAGCTTTTGTAGATTTGTTCGTTAGTTTCTACAGTGAATGTAAAGGCTCTGTTTGACTACTGACCACATCATAGGCTTCATCCATGAGTGGATACTCCACTTTTCCACCAGTCAGCTGATCCATCAGAATTCTGTTGTCATAAGATGGATCCATCTTTCCAATGTAATGAATACCTAAGAATGTTGAGAAAATATTCATAATGGATGTTTAATAACAAGATGCCTTATCTTAAAGTAATGAGATTGTAAATTTATTTATTTATTTATTTTTTGGTCTTGGTGTAAAATTATTAAATAATGACAAAACATTACCTAGTTGCAGACTAAAAATTTGAAAGGGGGGGGGGGGGGGTCAGAAAAAAGCAAGAAAAAGTTTTGAGTACAGGTGATTTTTTGCTGTTTTAATTGGAAACAAAGGTGAATGGTGGAAATACTTTTTTTATCTATGCCTAAGGTTGAGCATTATAATGAAAACAAATTAAATACCTGTATCAAATTCAAATCCTTTATCAATGAAGGTATGACAGCAGCCTCCAGCCTGATCATGTTGCTCGAGAACCAGAACTTTCTTCCCTGCACGAGCAAGCAGTACCCCCACCTCCAGTCCCCCAATGCCACTCCCGATTATAATTGTGTCTAGATTTTCAGGAACTTTGTGGCTTTTGAATCCTTAAAAAAAAGAACACTACTAATACAGCACAGATGACTTAATGCTGTAGTTTGTTAATCCTTTGACTGATCACAAAATGATTTCAGAAACTAAGTGAATATTTTGAATTTGCAGCTGTATCTACTACAAAATGAAGTGTTATTATTTAAGTTTATGGAAAATGCACATGTTAATTCACTTGACAGACAAGAAATTTCCCTGTAGATGACATTACTCAAAATTGTTTCCTGATTTCTGCAAATATTCCAGTAAACAGTCTGTTTTATAAAATTTTTTAGTGCAAAACTGAAGATTTCTGTACAAAGACTTCAAAGTACTACTAAGTTAAAGCAATATGAGCAGCATTTTTAATAAGAATTTTATTTTGCTGTTAAAATGTGCTGTTATGATAAATCTGCATGTATTTTAAACCTTTATGATCAATTAGACTAAAATAAAGTATTAATTTTTTTCAGAAGAAAGGTTTCTGTTCAATGGAATGCCTAGTATTTTATAAGAAATCAGTATTGTACAGGATGACAATAAAGTAATTTTGCTTCAATCAAAGCTTATAAATAGTTCTTCCGTCGCAAATATGAACAAAAGAAGTTTCTATTTGTTCTTTATTTCTGTCATTGAAATTGTAACTTACAATTTTGTCACAAAAATTTCCAAAATCAAAGATGCAGCTCATTTTGCTTTAAAATTTTAACATAACTCTATAAGCAACAGACTTGATCACAATAAATTTAATATGATATGTATATTAAACGACATAATTAAAAAAATCATTGATATTGAAAGTGATAGGAAATTAAAAAGTTTACCCTGTAACCAGGTGAAAACCTGTTTTGCATTTTATAGCCTATTTGCTTGAATGCATTCCAAGTATTTAATCTGTCATAATTATATGTAGACACATTAGTTCTCTCTCATGATACCAATACTTTAATTTATCAATAATCATGACAATAGCTTCAGTGTTTAAGAATGTTAATTATCTACATACATAGGCTATTTCTATATATAAAAAAATACATGACCATATTGCTTTAAATTTGTTCTTATGCTGAAAGTACCAAATAATTTGCTCATATGTGGATATGCATGCAAAATCAGAGGATTCATTTATCAGATGAAATTACTGTACATCAAAAATTCATTTCCATTCTAATCTAACATTAATATGTTCTCTTAAACCCTTTCCCTCTGCAGACAACAAATGTAGTTACATATCATTTCTGATAATATTATACTTTAATCTATGTTTGTTTGTTTGTTTGTTTTTCAAACAAGAATCTACACTTAAGTCAGCTGACTACTGTAGGCATCCTCTATGAAAATATATTCAACATAAAAACCACGCAATTAAGAGATCTTCATATCAAAATGATCATATACATACTCTGCTTTAAGATCTGATCACGGGTTTTCTGATCAGAGACCAATTCCTGCACTGGTTTTACGTGCTTCGCCGAGAAAGGATTTCTCCCAGGTTTAGGTCCAGAAAATAGAACTGACATTGCAAATATGAAAATATACAGGAGAAAAATTATACCAAGAATATACGGGTTGTCTGCAAGGTACTGGAGTACCTTGCCAACAAACGCAAGAACTCCTGTATTCATCTTCTTTGATTTCTGTGCTACAGGTGACTGACTACCTTTCGGATTTCCTTTGGCACATTGGCTTCTTGAACCCGATCCATTTACAATGCAAAATCACTAAAAATGGGTTGTATGAAAAATATTATCTACGGATTACAAACAACAAAATATTTAATTCTTGATACGTAATTTAAAAAAATGAACAATTTTGTTTGATATCGTAAAACCTTTAATTTTCACAATTAGATCGGAATCGGGATACGGTAAATACTAAACAATTTCTTAAACGTTCATTGAATATTTTCGAGAAGGAGTTGATGATTAAATCTACCGTCATCTTTTAAGTTATGGCTGATGAAAAGGTAAATATGAAGTGAAGATCATCATTTTACTATTTTACATTAATATTTCATTCATAGTTTTATCCCAGCTTTAGTGCCTTTTACAGAACACGTTCCTCAAAGCAACTCGCTGACTCGATTTGCAAAATTTTCCATTTGTCATCTTCACATGTTGCAACGTTTTATGTTTACTGGAGACAGAAAAAGAAGCAAGAAACACAGTTTTTGAAATTATCTCTATTTTTTTAACGTTTTGATGTTTTATATCGAAGATGACAGATTCATCATCACAGGCTAGACACTAATCCGAGATTCCTCTGACTCTAACCCCTTCTTTAATATTGTGGCATGTGCAGGGGAGAGTCAGAGGGGAGGCCGTATTGAAAAGTTGAAATTTAGCGACGCCAGCTGAAAATTCACTAAAAATAGGTTGCTTAAAAAAAAATGCAATCAAAAAATAAATTATTCTTGTTGAGTAATTTAAAGGAGGCGACCTTATTTAACAGGTCCAGTCCAAAGACTATTTCTACCTACGTAGCTTTTAATAGCTAAATATTAATACGTAGGTATTTAAACCTACCCAAAGTAGCTATTTTTACGTACTTTTTGCATTACTTGCATTTTGTAGCCAAACGGCCACACGGCGCAACATGGTGAGTACCAT